CCTGGCTAACACAGTGAAACGCTGTCACTACTAAAAAATACAAAAAATTAGCTGGGCATGGTGGTACACACCTGTGGTCCCACCTACTCGGGAGGCTGAGGCAGGAGAATCGCTTGAACCCAGGAGCTGGAGGTTGCAGTGAGCCGAGATCGTGCCACTGCACTCTAGCCTGGGCAACAGAGTGAGACTCCATCTCAAAAAAACCAAAAAAACAAAAAAACAAAAAAAGACGTTCTGAACAACAGTATGCTCACCCATCAAATGGGCCACTGCTCTGCTTATAAAGTGTGGCACAGGGTGGGTTCACAGTAGCACTGCCTCCCATCTCTGCCAATGTCTAGCATTCCTAGGGGCAGTGGCCTTGCTGGAAGAGCCTTGTCATTTGACTGCTGAGGCCCAGTCTGGAAGCCCATAACCAACTGAGGTGGCCGTGTCAGGTCTGAAGTTGGCACTTCCCTACTTGGTAATCCCAATGATCACATGACACAGGAAATTTGTCAAATGTGGGTAGGAACCTTCCTTCTCCAAGTTGCACCAAAGCCTTTCTTATTTCCTCCCTGTGAGTTTTGGGCTGGAGAAGAGCTGCAATGCAACAGGAGAGGCGACCCAGAAGGGGAAGGTTGGTAAGAGGCTTGGGGAGGGGCAAACAGAAGTAGGAGGCCTGTTGCCTTGGGCTCCACATGCTCACCAGCTTCAGCAGACAGTGGTCCAGAAACTGCGACAGGGCAAGGGAAGAGATGGATGGACTGGCAATGTGCCATGTTGTTTCCAAAATATTTCCTTTCTATTTCATCCCAAGTCCCTTGTTTTTCACTTAGAACCGCATGGAAGAGAGCAAAGCCTTATTTAAAACCATCATCACCTACCCCTGGTTTCTGAATTCGTCTGTGATTTTATTCTTGAACAAGAAGGATCTTTTGGAAGAGAAAATCATGTACTCTCATCTAATCAGCTATTTCCCAGAATACACAGGTAAGTGTCTATCTTGTGGACGGTATTTCTGTGTTGATCTCGTCTACCTCCTGGGCATCAGTCTAGAGTTACCACAGCAAAAAGGGTCTCCCTGGTCTGCCTAGAACACCCTCTCTCCCTATTCCCACCTTCAAACGGAAGCTTTAGTTGCACCATTGTGTGTTTTCACCGAAGCACCTCCACACACGCTTCCCTCGGTGCTGGGAATATCCTTGTCAACTCCTTTCACTGCCTCCACGTTGTTCTCTAAAACCCAGCAAAGGCCTCCCCTTCTCTGGGAGCATTTCTGGCCTCCCCTGCCCATCCGGTCTGCAGTAGGGGTGCCTCCTCCTTTCTGCTCCCTTGGCAGCCTGATCCCCGCTTGCTCTCTTGGCCACATCACGCTATGTCGTATCCTCTGCTCACTCAGCTCTCTTCCCAGTTGGCTCCGTGAGGGCAGAGATCTGCTTGATTTATCTGTGCATTCCTCGTGCCAGTTGGAGTACCTGGTGCTTCTTATGTGTATGTTAGACTGTGGCATCCCTTTTCCCAGACACATGGCGGACTCTGAAGCTCTTTATACATAACATGTCCAAGGTAGGAGAGTCTCATGCCCTGTTGCTAATTGTTTCTGGTACAGGAGATCTCATTCAGTTTGACACTGATATTTAGTGGATTCATGTTTCAGCTCTCTTCTTTCCCCTTTTACTAACCATACTGGCTGTGCAGTATAGCACCCTCGAGCTTTAAAATCAGCCTGATAATGTTAGTTCCCACATTCTTCCTTTTATCTCTCCTAGACCAGAGCTGTCTGTCCATATGTGTTAGCAAGGATTCCTTCTCTTCAAAAGTGGTCCAAATCAGACAAATTGGGTCACTATGTTTAAACAAATCGCCATAAAGTGCAATTTTTAGATACCAGAGGACATTTTAAAATATGACTATTTTATGGGTTCATGATGAGATACCATAAAAATAATGCTGCAGGTAAACTGTTCCCTAGAAATAAAGATCAAAGCAGGATCTCAAATAAGAACAAGAGTACATTAAAAAATGGTTCTTGGGGCCATTACAGTGGCTTACGCTTGTAATCCCAGCACTTTGGGAGGCCAAGGTGGGTGGATCACCTGAGGTCAGGAGTTCAAGACCAGTGTGGCCAACATGGTAAAACCCCGTCTCTACTAAAAATACAAAATCACTGCACGTAGTGGCACGCATCTGTAATCCCAGCTACTTGGGAGGCTGAGGAAGGAGAATTGCTTGAACCCCAAAAGTGGAGGTTGCAGTGAGCTGAGATTGCGCCACTGTACTCCAACCTGGGCTACAGAGCAAGACTCTGTCTCAAAAAACAAACAAACAAACAAAAATGGTTCTTGGGAGGACATGGTGTTAAGTCTGTGTCTTTATTCCCCTAATTGCACTTGTGACTAGGACCAAAGCAGGATGTCAAAGCTGCCAGAGACTTTATCCTGAAGCTTTACCAAGATCAGAATCCTGACAAAGAGAAAGTCATCTACTCTCACTTCACATGTGCTACAGATACAGACAATATTCGCTTTGTGTTTGCTGCTGTCAAAGACACAATTCTACAGCTAAACCTAAGGGAATTCAACCTTGTTTAAAAGCTGCTGCCCACTCCTCCCCCATAACAGAAGATGTGATTTGCAAACTCCTTGTTTTATTTGCAAGTGCTTCTGACATCTCCAGAGCCAGCCCCATGCCAGGCACTAAGGACGCCACGCAGATTGTGGAGACAGAGATGGGTGATGGAACTTGGAAGACATTTGAGTTTACCAAAATACTTTAAAAGTCCTTGCATCTCAAATTGTTTTAATAATTATTTTCTTGACTTTTGGCTGTGAGATTTTGTGTAATTTTTGAATTTGGTGTTTTCTAGAATTTTTAAAGGCCACTTTGATTTAGTTTTAAATTTCAAATATGTTTAAAATAGCAATTAAAATTATGTAAGCAAGGAGCTTGTTAGTTTATAGATCATGCCTTGAAACCTCTAGAACTAATTTGGGTGACTTTTTAAAAAATGCTAATGAGTCTGAAGCTTTTTATTAAATCTTGTAATTTAGAGACAGTTTTAATTGTGTTTCTCACCTCATGCTGAAGGCTGACTCCTTTAACTTGCCACCAAAGATTTTTTTTTGAACACTTAGTTCTTTTTGTGTGTTAATTTTCTAAGCCAAATTAATAGATATACAAGTATATCTAACTTAGCTTTGCCACAATTTGATCACCATGAAGCCAAAGCTGGCATAGAGTAATGGGCTCTAGATAGCATGTATGTTGTATTGGTGAAAAGTGTGTGTGTGTGTATATATACATTTTTATCCCCAATGTATATGACTAGGTCTTGTAAACGTATGAAATGGCTAAAAGCCCACACTGTTTGACAAATGTTATGTAACCCTGCCAAAGTTCTGATGGCCACCACCGATTTGCTGTTTGAATTATGTACGCTGTGCCTTTCTGAGGAGGCTAAGAATATACCATTCTGCTATTATCACTGGGTTATATTGTGCTTCTTAGAGCTCATGGTTGACTGATGGTTCTGCTCCTAAACAGGAAAATGCTGTGGCCTTAATAGTAACTTGGAAACTTTCTTAAGATTCCTCCTTTCAAGGCAAGCCTGTACGCATCGTCGTGGCATGCTGCAGTTCCCTCAGTAGCTGGCTGGGTCAAGCAGAAGGAGAATCCTCTGGGAAGTAAGAGTGCTCCACACTAAAGGCCCAAGATGGTTTTGTGCATGTGTGCACACACACCTGCGCGCGCACACACACCATTTGGGGATGTAAGGTATGAAGTGTCTATCTCAAATCAGTCTATAAAATGCACCTCGGTTGGCTAACATACGTTATGGAACCATGCGTCCCCATTCTGTGGGAACAATTCCAAGTGCTGAAAAAGACAAATTATTCTGATATGTAGCGATTCTACAATAGCAACATCTAACTTTAAAAAAATGAATCCTTACTCAAGAGATCAATGCAATAACAACAACTTTTGTGGAAGTTCACAGATTGATGTTAAAATTTATCTAGAACAGTAAAGGTCCAGAAATAGCCGAGACAATTTTGCACGAGAACAGAGAGAGGGGAGTGGAGTTCTTTAGGATATCTAGAAGCACAAACAAAATACAAGACAATCCCCCTCCCCACCCATGATGGGCTAGAGGCTATGGACTGCGTTTCACTAGCCAATTAACATCAAAAGGGTTCAACAGAATCCAGTAATCGGGGAAATTAAACAATGAAGAATTCCATTTCTTATTTCAAGCACTTTCTAGCATTGAGTTTTTGTTAATTTATAGTTGGCTGACCACTTAAAGCATACAAGAAAATGATGGCTTTCCATATTCTAGTTGTAGGAGGGCTGTTAAATAAGTCATTCAAAGGGTGGTAACAGTATTTTCTTAAGGCGTGGAAAGGCTAGACTCTCAATATCAGAGGTGAATTACCTCTGCCAATGTTGATTCTGCCAGTAGAAAATTCCCTCCTGGCTCTTCATTCAATATACTCATTACTTACTGGGGAAATGAATCATGCGGAGTTTTCTAAGGTTAAGAGGCAGAATGTCGGTGGTTAAGAATTCACTAGGTTGAGACCATCCTGGCCAACACGGTGAAACCCCATCTCTACTAAAACTAAAAAATACAAAAATTAGCTGGGTGTGGTGGTGTGCACCTGTAGTCCCAGCGACTCAGGAGGCTCAGCAGGAAAATCGCTTGAACCTGGGAGGTGGAGGTTGCAGTGAGCCAAGATTGTGCCACTGCACTCCAGCCTGGTGACAGAGCAAGACTCTGTCTCAAAAAAAAAAAAAAAAGATTTCACTAGGTACTGTACCATACCACCCCCAAGCTTTTAGTCAGCAATGATCATGCCGGGCTGGAATGTCGCCTGCTTTGACTGAAAAATCAGGACCTTGGACAATCTGTTATTCACATTTATTTAAACCCCAAAGAGGGTGGAATTTATATAGGCAAGGGTAAGCTATTGATAATGTTTCCAGTTCTATCAAAAAACTAAGAACAGAAGCAGACCAAAGATCAGAAATCTTTATTTGACAAAGGTATACATGGTGAAAATGGACAGTCATCTTACCATGCAATCCAAATCTACCAATACCAAGAAATAATTATTGTCAAGAAAGTCATTAGTGAGCGTGGCCAACCAATTTTTAGAGAGAGGAATAAAAGAATAAGATTAGTTTCAAAAGGAAGAACTTCACTGTAAACATCTGTGTTTATAAATTATCTTAGAATACACAAAACCAAGGCAGAGACTGTGTAACAGGCAACTGAGCCAAGCACACATAAAAGAGGAATGAGGAACAGAAAAGTGTAGGAAATCCTGCAGCGATGCAGAAATAGATATTTTTAAAACTATCATAATCAATGACCATATTTTCATCAAAGAATAAACACTCCAAAGCAGCAAAGGCTATTTGATCAATTAATAAAACTAGCAAGAGAATATTTTTAAAGTGCACCTTTCCTGAAAAATTCATTTTTATATGTAATACACAGTCATATACAGAGATAATTATTTTTAAAAGTCTATAACAATCTATCTGACCTTGTAACAAGTCCCAGATACCATTCCTAATAGTTTGTGAGTGTGGCTATTAAATCATCGATATTGAAAATATTTCGGTATAATCTATGCTACATTTTTACTTGAATGTTTTTCAGCCCGAGAATTGGGAACTTTTGAGTAATGGACTGAACACCGGAGGTACAATGGCATAACAGGAAATGTTGGGATTTTCCAACATGTTCTACTTTAATTATACTTCTAATTATTAGATATCTCATTATACCAATCTCACAGGGTTTCTTGTTACAAGGACTTCATTAGAAGGAGCACATTATTGAGGTATCAGAGTAACACTAAATGAATAGTTCAATGACTGACAGGGATTTTCTATCATAACAGTGTGATATCTATCATCATAGCAGGTGTTAAACTATAATTTGTATTTGTATAAAGTAATAAAAACTTTAAAAATATACCCATATCAGCCTAAAAAAATTGAAGTTATATTTCTTGTAGAGCTTTTTGGGTAACCAAAATTTTTTTTTTTAAATGCCATAATGCTTTAAAAAAAGAACTCATCTGTAATTCTAAAGTAAAAAATTTTTTAAACGACATGGAAAAATTTACTTTACAAAAGAGGAAATATAAAGTAGAAAAAGGTTTCAATCAAAGAAACACGAATAAGGTGTGTAATAGAGTAGGATTCTGTATCTTCTCAATGTGCCGGCTTTGCTTTTTGGATAGTCCTGAAACAAATACTACTTTAGACCAATTGTGACAGTGGAGAAAAGTTTGCTCTAACAGTCGGAGTGGCCAAAAATGGACAGTACAGATTACAAGAATCGCAATTTTAACCGACGAATCCTAGCTTCATTAGATTGCCATTAATGATAAGGGATAACTTCAAAAGTATATTTCAAAGGACTAAGCAGGAGAGTGAATGGGGTTCCTTTTAGAGTTGCGCTATACTGAATAGCACCAAAGAAAATCAGATTGACTAAGTCTGTATTGAGTCCTGCATATGGAATGTGAGTTATTTACCTTTTCTCCTTGGATCTTAAAGCAATGAGGAAATCCACTGTTTTTAGTAAAAAGGCATTGATATTTGCATAGTGAATATTTTGGCCCTACCAGAATGTGCCCTACATATTAGCTCCCCATTTTTAAAGGCCTTTGCCACCTGTATGGTCAATCAGCCAAAAGGAAGATGGTGCAAATTCAACGGACTCCGAAGGACAATGTCTGTCCCCAATTCTATGATAGTAAAATGCTTAGTGGTAAAGAGGTTAAAGTACATCTAGGTAAACAAAAGACTGCTGTGGCCTTTTGTGGGTGCTGTTTGTGGATCTGATTTTTCTATGCTTTTTCTGGTTCCACTGGATCATATGAGGTGCCTGATACACAGCAGAGAAGAAAAATGTTTCAGAAACCAAACAAGAGTGATTCCATCTTCTCACTCAAAAGAGAAAGTGCTGAGCCTCTCTAGACTTCCTGAGCTGTGGATCTGCTGCTCCTTATCTAAGGTCAGGCTCCACACAATCCAGACTCTTCCAACAGTCACTGGATGGCCCATGCCTCCTGCAGAGTCTGTCAAGCTTTCTTTTTTTCAATTGCATTTCATAATAGGAAACACTTTATCTTGTGACCCCGTATACACAGTAGATAGAAGATTTCGCTGAAACAGGAACCAATACTTAACCATTTTACATGCTCTATTGTTCCTCTATTTTTTATTTCACTTTTAAAATATACTGGTCTTGAGCTGTTGAGTTGATTTCATGACCCACTAATGAGTTAGGACTTAGTGTGGAAAAACAGCATCCCTGAGGATTTGGGTTGATCCTGACAAAAGGTAACAAGCAATAGCCCTGGAACCCGAAAAGATTTCTCTGATCTGTGTTGGCTGAGCCACCAAAGCATCCACTGTCAATGTATTTGGTACATACTTTCAGCTTCTACAGGCAAACTAATCAAGTATATTGTCCCAATCTTTTTAATACAGGGGCCTACGTGAAGGGGTACTTGACATAGCCTGAGGGATCAAAGAATACTGGCAAGTGATAACTGGATAATTTAGGTGCAGGAAATTCAGCACTGTGTAGAGTCCTTTTAATTTAATCTTACTTTTTACTAGACAGTAATACGATGCTACTATGTGGGATGTTTCTATGAGATGAGCTAGGTGCATAGATATTCACTGGAACAATATTACTGCTATTACCATCAGAAGAAATGAGAGAAAGAATTATTATAGAAAAGATCATGTAAGTCTAAGAAAGACTGATTCATTTGGAGGCCACAGGATAGTTGCCTCCAAATGGATTAGGATTGTGGAGGAGAGGGGTAGGTAAGAACTGCCTACAGGTGTTAATGATTATTTACAGTCCAGATAACAACTCAGCCACACTAAACTGACCTTGGGGATTTTTGCAAACAGTAGAGGAAAAGCAGCAAATATATACACTCTAAAAGGGAAGACACTGGAGAAGTGTATGTGCCTTTTGGCTCAGAGAGTATTTTCTAAATGTGAAGAAATCAAAGTCGCTCTTTCCAATGACTTATGATTTTCTGGTGGAGAGTTGGCAGGGAACTCTGTCTTGGTCCTCGCATAATTATCATAGACCAGAAGACATGCTATGCTGGAATTAAGGGCCTAGTAATAGAGTTAGCAAAAAATACATGGAAGGGGCACAAGACTGAACACCTCATTCCATAGCCACCACCAAACAACTTAGACAAGCTTAAATTTCTCCAGCAGAGAGCCATTTATTGTAGTTAAATGTAATTTAGGGCAGATGGTTTTCAAATACAAGACGATTGTATATTCTAACCTTCAAGAAAAATGGGCTATAGAGTCAATCAAACAAAAACTAAACTGTAAAATGTGATGCTAAAAACACTGACTCGTTATCTAGTGATCTACTGATGTTCTTAGTGTTTTTGTTTAGATGAAAACAATCTTCTAAAACAAATGATACGATGTAGCTCTTGAAAGTGTGGGTCCCTCTAGAGACAAGGAAGCCACGGGAGGAGGTGATGTGTAAACCAGTGGCAGGGAAAGAAGAGATATTTCATGATTCTTATGGCAAGGGAACAAGAAAGGCACTATCCTTTCTATGTGGACTAGTTACAAGACCCACTCCTGCTGGCTGCCAGAGGACACCAGAAGAATTTCTGGAATTTCTACGTTTACTATTTATGTAAGGCTTTTCTGCTTCACGACACTACACCCAGGGAGGCAGGGGGCTGTAATTTTTCTGAGACTGGTGAAATCATAACATTGGAATGGGTAATGAAGTATTTTGTTTTGGATGAGGACAATCTGATGCAAGCTCTCTGACTATCTCCACTCTTAGGTTTAATTCTGACAAAAGCAAAACTGGAGGAGCTTAGCAACAGAGAAAATATGCACTTTTTTTTCTTTTTTTTATAAAAAGGTCAACATGGAAACACACTTTCATGTGGTTTGAAACGTGTGGTTTGATTCAATTTAAGTTCAGCAGAGCAAAAAGCATTTTGGGAGAAACTACTGAGAATAAACAATGTGTTTTAGTCATCAGAGAGAAATCAGAAGCATTAAGTAGATTTGGTCAGCAAGAAATAACAATTACAATATAGCATGCTGTTTATTTTAGCTTTTACAACAAAGCAAGGGTTTTAGGAGCCTGAGAAGAATTTCACAACCATTGACTATACAGAGTCTTCAATTCCAAAAACAGTTTATAATAACTTGGTGGCACATACAACATGCATTGAATACTCTGTATTATTCAGTATCTAAATAGGATCCTGCATCATTCTCTTCATAGTTCACAATCATACATTCATTCCCTTTTACCTGAAACAGTCCATTAATATTAAGGTGCAAAGATCTTGGACAAAAACCAAGAAAGAAAACCTCATGTCCTTATTTTTACTAATGTATAGCTGATGATTTCTGTGATGAGCTCTAAATTTAGAAGAGTGACTCTCATTTGAATAACTGTAGAGAAAGCAAACCAGAAATTCTCAATCTGTTGGCAACAGGACAGCTTATTGGGCTAGATTTCAGGGTACATACACTTACTTATGAGAAGGACTGTCTGTTGGAAGCATAATTCACTGTATCTAAGATGTTGGGAATTTTGTATATTCCATGTTAACAGTGAATGGAAAGTAGGCATTGTTAAGGCTTTAGATATTCTCCTTTGATATTAGCAGTCTATTAAAAACATGATTTGGATAAACCAAGTAGATCTCATGAAATATGCTTGAGGAAATATTTCAAAGTCCCTAAAGTTCTCAGAGACTTCCTTTTTTGAGTAGCATACTCATTTAAGTTTTCTTAAGGGGAGGCTTCAATCTATGTTATAAATTGTATTTTGAAAGATTGTTTTTAATAATCATGCTATGCATTTTAAGTATAATTCAAACCTATCCTTTATATTAAAAATAAGGAAAATAATATCAAAATATTTGTCTATAAAAAGAACTTCATGATTCTGAAGAAACCACCACCAAAGTTCTCTTGATACCACTGAGGCAATGTTTGATTTGATTGTTTACCCATCACTCAGGGAGTTTGAAATAAGTATGATGGAAGTTCAAAATGTGAACTAGAAACATTAAACTTGGCTCCACGTGGAGATGAATTACAGGCAGCCTCTCCACCATTACAGAGAAAAACTTGGAGCAAATATTTAAGATTCATAATTGTTTCTTCTTTTACAAAATAATTATAATTATAAATAGATGCATGATTCAAGTTAGAAAACCAGGTAATTGCTGAAGAATTGAAATATTTTAATCACATAGCTGTTTTACTTGATTCTGTTTTTTGTTTTTTTTTTTAGCATCCAGAATACAGGGTACTTGAAATTATTTCTGTAATATGCTTCCCAAACAGGTTTTGAAAGGTACAGTCTAGGGGCTGTAATTCCTTATTGCTGTGTGTCTTCAGGCAGTGTTCTCTGTCAGAGGCTCGGAGAAGGTTCTCTTGCTTCTTCGAGCTTTGTAAGGATCCACTGCGGTGGGAAAATAAAGGAAGATTTGCTTACTTCAGTGAACTTGCAATGAAACAAAATGTAATGAGGTTTAGAAGTTAGCTTTATAGTTTAGTTAGGTATATACTGACAGCCAATACATAAAATTCATCCTGCAAAAGAGATCATTCACTTCAATGGCCCAGATGACTCAGGGACAATGGTACTTGGTTTAACAGTAGGAATGCGGTTTTTCTAAGGTCTTTGGATATTCATCTTCAGAATAAGTGAAATGAGCCAGCCTGAGAGAAAAACATTACTTCCAATCTGTGCTGACTTTATATCATGAACTTCCATGAATCCAGATATAGGATTCTACTAATGGAGAAGAAATAAGTACAACTCCAGAGAGGGTAGTAGAAGTGACATTCTTGAGCATTTTAGGTGCCCTTACAATATATTTTCTATTCTAAAATAATTTGAAATAACAAAAATAAAATGTAAATGTAATACACAAACTTTCTACCAGTAATGTCTATTATTATTGTGTATGTATGACAGATCAAGGCCATGGAGGTGATACAGGGCTTATTCTAATATACAAATATTTCACAGAGATGTATGTGCCTCTTTAACTTAAGAAGAGCCTAGGTTCCTGAGCAAGATGGCCAAATAGGAACAGCTCCAGCCTCCAGCTTCCAGTGCGAGTGACACAGAAGATGGGTGATTTCTGCATTTTCAACTGAGGTACTGGGTTTATCTCACTGGGGAGTGCCGGACAATCAGTGCTGGTCAGCTGCTGCAGCCCGACAAGTGAGAGCTGAAGCAGGGCGAGGCACTGCCTCACCTGGGAAGCACAAGGGGGAAGGGAATCCCTTTTCCTAGCCAAGGGAAACTGAGACACACAACACCTGGAAAATCGGGTAACTCCCAACCTAATAGTGCACTTTACCAAGGGTCTTAGCAAATGGCACACCAGGAGATTATATCCCACACCTGGCCCAGAGGGTACCACGCCCACAGAGCCTCCCTCATTGCTAGCACAGCAGTCTGAGATCTAACTGCAAGGTGGCGGTGAGGCTGGGGGAGGGGCACCCGCCACTGCTAAGGCTTAAGTAGATAAAGCTGTGGGAAGCTTGAGCTGGGTGGAGCCTACTGCAGCTCAAGGAGGCCTGCGTGCCTCTGAAGACTCCTCCTCTGGGGACGGCATAGCTAAACAAAAAACAGCAGAAACCTCTGCAGATGTAAATGACCCTGTCTGACAGCTTTGAAGAGAGCACTGGGTCTCCCAGCACAGAGGTTGAGATCTGAGAATGGACAGACTGCCTGCTCAAGTGGGTCCCTGACCCCTGAGTAGCCTAACTGGGAGACATCCCCCACTAGGTGCATACTGACACCTCACACCTTACATGGCTGGGCACATCTCTGAAACGAAGTTTCCAGAGCAAGAATCCGACAGCAACACTTGCTATTCAGCAATATTCTATCTTCTGCAGCCTCCACTGCTGATACCCAGGCAAACAGGGTCTGGAGTGGTCCTCAAGCAAACTCCAACAGACCTGCAGCTGAGGGTCCTGACTGTTAGAAGGAAAACTAACAAACAGAAAGGACACCCACACCAAAACCCCATCAGTACGTCACCAGCATCAAAGACCAAAGGCAGATAAAACCACAAAGATGGGGAAAACGCAGGACAGAAAAGCTGGAAATTCAAAAAATCAGAGCGCATCTCCCCCTTCAAAGGAATGCAGCTCATCACCAGCAACGGAACAAAGCTGGATGGAGAATGATTTTGACAAGTTGAGAGAAGAAGGCTTCAGTCGATCAAACTTCTCAGAGCTAAAGGAGGAACTACATAACCAGCACAAAGAAGGAAAAAATGTAAGGGCAGCCAGAGAGAACGGTTGGGTTACACACAAAGGGAAGCCCATCAGACTAACAGCAGATCTCTCGGCAGAACTCTATAAGCCAGAAGAGAGTGGGGGCTGATATTCAACATTCTTAAAGAAAAGAATTTTCAACCCAGAATTTCATATCCAGCCAAACCAAGTTGCATAAGTGAAGGAGAAATAAAATCCTTTACAGACAAGCAAATGCTTAGAGATTTTGTCACCGCCAGGCCTGCCCTTCAAGAGACCGTGAAGGAAGCACTAACCATGGAAAGGAACAACCAGTACCAGCCATTGCAAAAACATGCCAAAATGTAAAGACCATTGATGCTAGGAAAAAACGACATCAACTAACAAGCAAAATAACCAGCTAATATCACAGTGACAGAATCAAGTTCACACATAACAATATTAACCTTAAATGTAAATGGACTAAATGGTCCAATTAAAAGATACAGACTGGCAAATTGGATAGAGTCAAGACCCATCAGTTTGCTGGATTCAGGAGACCCATCTCACATGCAGAGACACACATAGGCTCAAAATAAAGTGATGGAGGAAGATCTACCAAGCAAATGGAAAACAAAAAAAAGCAGGGGTTGCAATCCTAGTCTTTGATAAAACAGACTTTAAACCATCAAAGATCAAAAGAGACAAAGAAGGCCATTACATAATGGTAAAGGGATCAATTCAACAGGAAGAGCTAACTATCCTAAATATATATGCACCCAGTACAGGAGCACCCAGATTCATAAAGCAAGTCCTTAGAGACTTACAAAGAGACTTAGACTCCCATACAATAATAATGGGAGACTTTAACACCCCACTGTCAACATTAGATAGATCAACGAGACAGAAAGTTAACAAGGATATCCAGGAATTGAACTCAACTCTGCACCAAGTGGACCTAATAGACATCTACAGAACTCTCCACCCCAAATCAACAGAATGTACATTCTTCTCAGCACCACATCACACTTATTCCAAAATTGACCACATAGTTGGAAGTAAAGCACTCCTCAGCAAATGTAAAAGAACAGAAATTATAACAAACTCTCTCAGACCACAGTGCAATCAAACTAGAACTCAGGACTAAGAAACTCAATCAAAACTGCTCAACTACATGGAAACTGAACAACCAGCTCCTGAATGACTACTGGGTACATAATGAAATGAAGGCAGAAATAAAGATGTTCTTTGAAATCAATGAGAACAAAGATACAACCTACCAGAATCTCTAGGACACATTTAAAGCAGTGTGTAGAAGGAAACTTATAGCACTAAATGCCCACAAGAGAAAGCTGGAAAGATCTAAAATTGACACCCTAACATCACAATTAAAAGAACTAGAGAAGCAAGAACAAACACATTCAAAAGCTAGCAGAAGGTAAGAAACAACTAAGATCAGAGCAGAACTGAAGGAGATAGAGACACAAAAAACCCTCCAAAAAAATCAATGAATCTAGGAGCTGGTTTTTTGAAAAGATCAACAAAATTGATAGACCACTAGCAAGACTAATAAAAAAGAAAAGAGAGAAGAATCAAATAGATGCAATAAAAAATGATAAAGGGAATATCACCACCGACCCCACAGAAATACAAGCTACCATCAGAGAATACTATAAACACCTCTAGGCAAATAAACTAGAAAACCTAGAAGAAATGGATAATTTCCTGGACACTTACACTCTCCCAAGACTAAACCAGGAAGAAGTTGAATCCCTGAATAGACCAATAGCAGGTTCTGAAATTGAGGCAATAATTAATAGCCTACCAACCAAAAAAAGTCCAGGACCAGACGGATTCACAGCCGAATTCTACCAAAGATACAAGGAGGAGCTGGTGCCATTCCTTCTGAAACTATTCCAATCAACAGAAGAAGAGGGAATCCTCCCTAACTAATTTTATGAGGCCAACATCATCCTGATACCAAAGCCTGGCAGAGACACAACAACAAAAAAAGAGAATTTTAGACCATATCCCTGATGAACATCGATGCAAAAATCCTCAATAAAATACTGGCAAACCGAATCTAGCAGCACATCAAAAAGCTTATCCACTATGATCAAGTGGGCTTCATCCCGGGATGCAAGGCTGGTTCAACATACGCAAATCAATAAACAGAACCAAAGACAAAAACCACATGATTATCTCAATAGATGCAGAAAAGACCTTTGACAAAATTCAACAGCCCTTCATGCTAAAAACTCTCAATAAATTCGGTATTGATGGAACGTATCTCAAAATATTAAGAGCTATTTATGACAAACCTACAGCCAATATTATACTGAATGGGCAAAAACTGGAAGCATTTCCTTTGAAAACTGGTACAAGACAGGAATGCCCTCTCTCACCACTCCTATTCAACATAGTGTTGGAAGTTCTGGCTAGGGCAATCAGGCAAGAGAAAGAAAGGGCATTCAGTTAGGAAAAGAAGTCAAATTGTCCCTGTTTGCAGATGACATGATTGTATATTTAGAAAACCCCATTGTCTCAGCCCAAAATCTCCTTAAGCTGATAAGCAACTTCAGCAAAGTTTCAGGATACAAAATTAATGTGCAAAAATCACAAGCATTCTTATACACCAGTAACAGACAAACAGAGAGCCAAATCATGAATGAACTCCCATTCACAATAGCTTCAAAGAATAAAATACCTAGGACTCCAACTTACAAGGGATATAAAGGACCTCTTCAAGGAGAACTACAAACCACTGCTCAGTGAAATAAAAAAGGACACAAACAAATGGAAGAACATACCATGCTCATGGATAGGAAGAATCAATATTGTGAAAATGGCCATACTGCCCAAGGTAATTTATAGATTCAATGCCATCCCCATTAACCTACCAATGACTTTCTTCACAGAATTGGAAAAAAACTGCTTTAAAGTTCATATGGAACCAAAAAAGAGCCTGCATTGCCAAGACAATCCTAAGCCAAAAGAGCAAAGCTGGAGGCATCACGCTACCTGACTTCAAACTATACTACAAGGCTACAGTAGCCAAAACAGCATGCTACTGGTACTAAAACAGAGATACAGACCAATGGAACAGAACACAGCCCTCAGAAATAATACCACACATCTATAGCCATCTGATCTTTGACAAACCTGACAAAAACAAGAAATGGGGAAAGGATCCCCTATTTAATAAATGGTGCTGGGAAAATTGGCTAGCCATAAGTAGAAAGCTGAAACTGGATCTTTTCCTTACTCCTTATACGAAAATTAATTCAAGATGGATTAGAGACTTAAATGTTAGACCTAATACCATAAAAACCCTAGAAGAAAACCTAGGTAATACCATTCAGGACATAAGCATGGGCAAGGACTTCATGTCTAAAACACCAAAAGCACCGGCAACAAAAGCCAAAATGACAAATGGGATCTAATTAAACTAAAGAGCTTCTGCACAGCAAAATAAGCTACCATCAGAGTGAACAGGCAACCTACAGAATGGGAGAAAATTTTTGCAATCTACTCATCTGACAAAGGGCTAATATCCAGAACCTACAAAGATCTCAAACAAATTTACAAGAAAAAAACAAATGACCCCATTAAAAAGTAGGCAAAGGATATGAACAGACATTTCTCAAAAGAAGACATTCATACAGTCAACAGACACACGAAGAAATGCTCATCATCACTGGCCATCAGAGAAATGCAAATCAAAACCACAATGAGATACCATCTCACACCAGTTAGAATGGCAATCATTAAAAAGTCAGAAATAACAGATGCTGGAGAGGATGTGAAGAAACAGGAACATTTTTACACTGTTGGTGGGATTGTAAACTAGTTCAACCATTGTGGAAAACAGTATGGCGATTCCTCCAGGATCTAGAACTAGAAATACCATATGACCCAGCCATCCCATTACTGGGTATATACCCAAAGGATTATAAATCATGCTGCTATAAAGACACATGCACACGTATGTTTACTGCAGCACTATTCACAATAGCAAAGACTTGGAATCAACCCAAATGTCCATCAGTGACAGACTGGATTAAGAAAATGTGGCACATATACACCATGGAATACTATGCAGCCATCAAAAAGGATGAGTTCGTGTCCTTTGTAGGGACATGGATGCAGCTGGAAACCATCATTCTCAGCAAACTATCACAAGAACAGAAAACCAAACACCGCATGTTCTCACTCATAGGTGGGAAGTGAACAATGAGATCACTTGGACACGGGAAGGGGAACATCACACACCGGCGCCTATTGGGGGGGGGGGAAGGAGGGATGGCATTGGGAGTTATACCTGATGTAAATGACGAGTTGATGGGTGCAGCACACCCACATGGCACATGCATACATATGTAACAAACCTGCATGTTGTGCACATGTGCCTTAGAACCGAAAGTATAATTAAAAAAAAAAAAACTGATTTAAGCCCCCCCCCTCACCAAAACAAAAGAAGAGCCTACTAAGATAGCCCTAAGATAGGGAAAGATAACTGAATCCAGTAGCCTTCTCTGGATGTCCAAGATTCTATAGTCAAGAAGGACAGAATCAGTATTCAAACTTGGATTTTCTGTCGGGCTTGGCTCCCTTTGGTCTGTGTCATGCTATGGCAACTTTTTAAAAAATCACGGTAGCTATGCAGTAGAAAAATCAACAATGTGGGGTTATACTTTCCTGCTGGAGCTGATGGATTAACACTAAAAATAATTTTTGTTTGTTGACTTTTTTAATTAAAAAATTATAGTTAGCATTTAAAGTAAGATGGAGTATTCTGGTTTGAAAAGCAAGCGGGTATGCTGAATTGAATCCAGTAAAAAAAAAAACAAAAAAAACTAGGGAAAATATTACCTGGTTACATATACTAAAACCTGTCAAAACACAAAAGCAAAACAAACAAAAATTCTGAAACAAAATGTATCTACCTTAAAAAATAGTGCACTTACATGGTTTTGGAGTGAGCAGCTCCTATCTTTTTAAATAAAAGATTTATTATATTTACCCTGGCATCCTCTGGGGTCTTGAAGTTAATTATTTTTCCAAACTCTCTGGCATGAAATACAGACTTCACTCGTTCCTATAAACAGAATATATAAATTCATTAACAAGAAAATCTGGTTGTAAAAATCCATAAAGAAATGCCACAGGCCAGGCATGGTGGCTCACGCCTGTAATCCCAGCACTTTGGGAGGTTGAGGTGGGCAGATCATGAAGTCAGGAGATTGAGACTATCCTGGCTAACACGGTGAAACCCTGCCTCTACTAAAGATACAAAAAAATTAGCCGGGCGTGGTGGCAGGCGCTGTAGTCCCAGCTACTCGGGAGGCTGAGGCAGGAGAAAGGCATAAACCCAGGAGGCAGAGCGTGCAGTGAGCTGATATCGCGCCACTGCACTCCAGCCTGGGCGACAGACTGAGACTCTATCTCAAAAAAAAGAAAGAAATGCCACAAAGCTTTATTACTGCAGGCCTAAAGTATTCATCTATACAAATCATGCACTTTAAAAAAGACAAGAATGAAGAACCAAGAAGAATCAAAACCAATAGAAAAAAAGACTACATTCTATTAATAACACAACCATTATCACTAAACCTAAGTTAAAAAGCTTAAGGTGATATTTCAATTGCTAAAGCCATAAAGAGTTGACATAAAGGATGGGAAGGAGGTAAGTCGGGGAGTAGTGCCACTGTTTTTCCTCTCCAAACACAGTTTTTTCTTACACAGTTGTTATCTGGCCATAGAATCATGAGTGAATCCAGCTTAAAAATATACACACATGCTAGTCTAACATGTTCTATAAGTAATTCAACTATCCATGCAAATATGGACACTAGAAGAAATTAGCTGCTTCTAATTTAAAAAAAAAAGGATAAGGCTGGGTGCAGTGGCTCATGTCTATAATCACAGCACTTTGGGAGGCTGAGGCAGGCAGATCGCTTGGACCCAGGAATTCAAGACCAGACTGGCCAACCTGGTGAAACACTATCTGTACTAAAAATACAAAAATTAGTCTGGCATGGTGGCATATGCCTGTAGTCCCAGCTACTCAGGAGGCTGAGGCAGGAGAATCGCTTGAATCTGGGAGGCGGAGGTTGCAGTGAGCCAAGAGCGCCACTGCGCTCCAGCCTGGGCAACAGGGCGAGGGACTGTCTCAAAAAACAGAATGATTGCAGAATTGTAGATATGAGGTCTCATGAAGAGGTGGAAAGGGAAGAAATCAAAGAGATAAGAGAAAGTATTAATGTTAGAAAGGGAAAAATAAAAAGCCAGGAAAGCAATATGGACTGGAGTACAAGCTAATAGCCACTACCCATTATTTCATATGTGGGAAGGTGGGGTTCTGTTACTGAACATACAACGAGGGCCCAGGAATGTTATTGTCAGTGCAATAGCACAGAAAGCACAGTTTTTCTTGGCCTATTTTTTTTTTTCTTCTTTAAGCCTGGGTAAGATAGCAGGTATTAAACGAAAACCATACCAAGAGAAGGTGACATCTATAAAAGAGGTAGAGCACTGTACAAATAAAAAGGACGATTTCAAAGCATTATTTTCAGTTCCAAGTTTTCAACAAATAAATCTATTCAACATACCTTTGCTTCAATGCGCAGTCTTCTCCCGTGAACAATGAATGGCTCTTTGGTGAACTCATCAAAGCTATACTGCCACTCACACGTGAGCTGTCCAAATGTTCCCTTTGTTACAAACAATACACCACTGCAAAAACAGAAACAAAAACACAGAATTCGCTTTAAAATTGAGGCACTTATAGCTGATAACAACAGGATACGAATGAATCTCAAGTGCAAATGCAATATTCATCAACACAGACTATATTCTATATTCTTAATGAATTTAAAAGAACTGAGGGGTCGGGCGCACAGGCTCATGCCTGTAATCCCAGCACTTTGGGAGGCTGAGGCGGGCAAATCACGAGGTCAGGAGATCGAGACCAGCCTGGCTAACATGGTGAAACTCTGTCTCTACCAAAAATACAAAAAAATTAGCCGGGCATGGTGGTGGGAGCCTGTATAGTCCTAGCTGCTCGGGAGGCTGAGGCAAGAGAATGGAGAACGGCGTGAATCCAGGAGGCAGAGCTTGCAGTGAGCTGAGATCGCACCACTGCACTCGAGCCTGGGCGACAGAGAAAGACTCTGCCTCAAAAAAAAAAAAAATAATAAAATAAAATTTAAAAAAAGTAAAAAAAAAAATAAAAAGAACTGAAACCATAAAGTGTATTCTCAGATCATAACAGAACTAAACTAGAAACCAAAACAAAAAGATAACAATAATATTTATAAATGCTTAAAAGTAACACTTCCAAATAATCCAGGGGTCAAAGAATCTCAAAGGAAATTAGAAAATATTTTGAACAGAATGAGAATGAAAATACAACATAAAATTTGTGGGATGCAGCTAACATAATGCTCAATGGGAAATTTATAGCACAACATATTTAGAAAAACTGAAGCACTTATAAAATCAAATATGTAAGGCACGTCATAAGAAACAGGATACATTTACAGAACCAATTATCAGCCAGTATTTGGAGAAACTTTCATATAATTAATGCATTAGAATAAATACTTTCATTTCTAAGGCTCCATGTAATGTGTTTCCCAACTACATCAGAAAGAAGCTTTTCTAACCATGTTGAACAGAATCATCATACTGAGGGCCTTGGGATGTTCACAAGTAAAATCAAGTCCCATTACTGCCAATTTTAGAGTAAGACTTCAAAAAGCATCATTCTAATTTTTAAATAAATTCTTGTCTTCCCATTTTGAAGAAAGAAACCAAGAAATGAAAATACCTTCTGTCTGTAAGAAGTCTATTTAATCCTTCCTTCATATGTTTTTCTTCTTACTTTTTCTTTCTGATTGAAACATCAATAGTAGGTGCAACTAGAGGTTTCTATTAGATTGAGTTAAAGAAACATCTGGCTCCTGGCTAGGATGGAAAAGGAGAAAGCTAGCCAGGATTTATATCTCTCACTTCCATCTTCTGTCCCTGTTCCCCTCCTTTACCAATCCTGGATTACAGGAGCTGATGGAGCAAACCCAGTGGTGCTCCAGGACATCTCCAACCATGTGAAAAATCACAGACAACTGGCCAATGCAGTAGCTATTCCCAGTCCTCATTCAAAGATCCTTTTATCCTCAAACCCAAAACTTGGAAAGGGAATCCCAAGTATAACCATCATGTTTTATTCAACTACAACTAATTCACTTCCCTTACTCTGTCAAGGCACTGTGGCCTCATCTAAAGGAGGTCCATGGCATTGAGGAAAAAAAAGCTTTTAAAATGTTGCAAGATTTGGAACCAAACTTTGCAATTGATTTTGCTTAATGCTGATTAGTTACCTTTCCTTTAGTCAATGGGAAAGTGAGTTACTAAAAACATGATGGAAAATTTTTATGAGCAAAAATGATTGCCGAAGCAATGTCTGCAATTACAAAAGTCTAGAAACAAGTTACAGGTAAATTAGTACATACTCCTAAATAAATATTAGGCAGGAATTTACAAATTAAGAAAGATCTCCATATGTTGACATGTAATAACCTTCAAAATATAGATCTCAAGTGAAAAATTAAAACTAAGTACATAATGCTATGTATAAGAGACTTTCATCTGCATTAAAATATGTGTGTATGTCTACCTGTAGAGGCATAGACTATTTCAAGAAGGATACAAAGGAAACAAGTAAAAAATGGGCTGCCTCTTGGAAGGGAACAGAGGGACTAATATCTGGGGTGGAATGAAGACTTACTTTTTACAGGTATAATTTCTAATATTGTGGAAGTTTTCCACTTAGTGTTACTTTTTAAATAAGAAAATTAACATAGGGCTATACATTTTAGATTCAGAAATTGAGATTACAACATTAAAAGTGACTGCTTCGTAGTCACCTTGAACCAACACAATGTTCATATAACTTTACCTTTCAATAGTGAACAAAACCATAGATTGACAATTCATTTCTATTTAGCTCTAACTTCTCCCCACTGGCCGTATTTTCACTCTCCACCACCCAGAGACTGCCATCTTACTAATGCACTTGCTCATTCCTTCCCTAGTTTAACAATGACTCCTGTACACTTGCCCCTCTGAGGCTATGCCACTGTGTATTTTTGCATGTACCCCTCCACTGTCTATTTGAAGAAGTCGCTGTAGTATCCACCTAAAATTTTATCTGCTTCTACCAGTATATCCACTTACGTTAATCTATATGTATTCTAACAAACAGATACTATCAGAGGACTGCTGACTTCTGGGATAACCTAAAATTGTACACTTTTTCAGCGTGAAGAAAGCTTACTTTTAAGAGGACAGTTTTATGGAATTTCTGCATCCATTTGAATTGGTTGAAAGAAATACGAAAATATTTGTGTCTGTGCATGACTGTGTTTATCTGTATGCATGCACAAAGCTATGCAGGACATTTATGTAACGTTTAGGGAGTTAGGCTTGTGGAGCAAGAGGACCCAAGAATCACTGTGGCTATATGGAACAAAAGATGAATAAAAGATCTTCACCGCATGAGTGGCTGCCAGTTAACCCCTTATCGAATTACATAAGAGAAAGAAAGGAAGTTACCGTCTGGTTATCATTAGCATATCTGTCTTATTGATCATGACGTGGGTAAAATATTTGTATTTTGCAAATCTTCCATTTTCCATGACCTAAAAGAAAAAAGTGAGAGACAATGAGAAAATTGGTAATATTCCTACTGTAATGCAAACAATGCCTTATAGTCCTCTAAGAACCATTTCTCAATGGGGCAAACCGTGAACATACAGAAAATGGATTTCATTATTTGTAAAATCACTGCTGTTTCCTTTTTAAAAGCATCTACTTGCACTACTTCATTTAAGATTACTCGGTTGCAGCAATGCCAACCTTTACTGCTAGACTTTTAGAAGCTGATGTTATCTTACAAAGTTTAAATTCAATCTAATGAGGTATTTAACTATTACAGTGACTTTATATTGGAAAATATATTAGTATTTAATAATATTTGTACAAAAACACATGTAAATACTAACACATATATAAACATATGCATCACATAAATTACTTATTAGCTTCTGCCTTGCCCTAGACATTCCGTATACATCTTACAAACATGCTTTTCTTTGTCCATCTCACAACTCATTAAAAAATAAAGAGCAGAGAGTTTCTAGACAAACAGGGACCCAAGGCTTACTTAGCCTTTGAAACAATCTTTATTTTCAAGACTGTTGAAACACTGTCTATCCATGATACTGTTTATTAACAATTGTTTGCTTCAAAAATGTAAATATAACCATAAAGAAAATAGAGTTATCATTTTAAATTCTATTTTCAGTAATATTTGCTCTGAGGATGGAGTTACTTCAGCTATTTAAAGCATATAGCAGGCTAGCCTACTATTTTTACAGGCAAGGCAAGCAATGTAATTATGACTAAGATCCCTCAAGAAGAGGCATGTTATGAATTTAGCCAAAATGTGAAAAACCATGAAGAAATCCAAGAGAGGATATAAAGGTTTTAGAAAATTGTGTTCCATGGAGCTGTATCAAAAAACTAAAGTGATTTAGCTTAGAAGAAAGCTAAGAAGTAACTTCATGATGATCTTGGTATAAAAAGTTGATAGTTTTCATTTTTATCTGAGAAAGAAGTTAAAAAAAACCCTAAAATAGCAGGATGAGTCATACAGATTAATTGCATGGAAGAAGTTTCTAAATTCAATGATTATAAAATATTGAGGAAAAGAATATCTTTACTATTTACTGTAGTAGGTAGGGCAAATAACACAAATACTTTGTATTACAAATGAAAAAGGGACATAAATACAGATTCAGAAAATAATTAACATGAATTACAGTCGTTCCCCCTTATCTGCAGGGGGATATGTTCCTAGACCTCCAGTGGGTACCTGAAACCACAGACAGCACTGAGCCCTACATATATTCTATGGTTTCTCCTATATATACATACCTATGATAAAGTTTAATTTATAAGTTAGGCACAGTAAGAGATTAATAACCAATAATAAAACAGAACAATTATACTGTAATAAAAGGTATGTGAAGGTTTATTTCTGAAATTTTCCATTTAATATTTTCAAACCATGGTTGGCCAAGGGTAACTGAAACTGCAGAAAGCAATTGTGGATATGATAGGACTACTGTATTAGATAATTTATAAATTATGCAAGTAATTTAAATTATTAAGAGGAAGAAGCATCATGAGTAGAAATTATTTGTGAATGACAGGACATTTGGAAAAGCCAAGCACACAAAACCCAGTAATCAATTTGGAAATGGAAGAGAAAGAAATCCTGTTTACAAGGGTAATAAAAAAGATAAATATTTACACATAAGTTTAATAAATAATGTGCAGAATATAGGTGATAAAAGCCATACCACTGTATTCAGGGGAGTAAAAGAAATTTTGAAAATGGAAATCCATATCTTATTCTTGGACATAAAAAATTATCATAATAAAGATGTTATTGACTCCTAATTTTCACACACACACACACACGTGATCCCAAGATGGTGGTTTTTGGAGCACGTGGTAGGAGGTAAGAAGTGATTTGTCAAAATTATACTAAAACTTATCTAGGAAAAATATGTGGTAATATCCAGTAAATTATGAAAGAAGAACGAGAAGAGCTACTCTAGCAGACATTAATGCAATTTATAAAGCTGCAGTAGTGAAACAGTTTGGTGCTGGTAAAGTATATGCAGACATATCAAAGGAAAGAATACAGATTGCAGAAACTGATCATATGCATATAGGACATTATAAAATCCTATCCAATTACAGAAATTTATTAAATCAAGACAGCACTTCAAATCAGTGGGTAAATACATGCATTATCAAATAAATGGTGTTTTAAGTAACTCACTGGCTAAAGCTGTATCCTCTCTATATATCCAATCAATTCTACATGGATCAACGATTTAAGTATACAAAATGACTATAAAAGTACTAGAAAAAGTAACATTTTAGTAATCTTGAAGTAGGAAAGACCAAAATATAACAAAGTCCATAAACACAACATAAAAAATTGTTAAGTACATAGAACTTAACCACTACTGAATGGCAAAACGATAATCAAATAAACAGTAACTAAGTAAAATAACACAAAACTCAAAGGACAATTTGGGAAAATATTTGTCGATACAGAGAGAGAGAGTCAATTTCAAAACAGACAATTCTAGCAATTTGAAGAAACCGACAGAAAATAATGAGTAAAGCAGTAGAAAAATGTGTGAAGAATATGAACAGGTAGTTCAGCAAAAAACAATATCTGACTGATAAACATGAGAAAATATTCACTATAACTCAAAATCAGGAAAATGCAAATCAATTAAACATACCATCTGAGTTAGCAATTCCACTGCTAGAATTTACCTTAGGCAAAAGTATGCCAAAATAGACATATAAGAATATTCACAGCAATATTGTATTAAAAGAACAAAATCTAAATATTCATTAATAGGGTATTAGTTAAATTCATGTACAGCCATACAATGGGGCATTATGAAGTCATAAAAAAGAAAAATGAAGACCTGTGTATACTGACATAGATGTATAAGATATATAGTAAATAAAATTATATTACAAAAGAGAATGTATAGAATGAAAAGTAGAAATGCATACATGTACATATACTTGTACATACATAAGAAACTTCTAGAAAGTATGCATCAATCTATTAACACCACTGATCTCTGGGATTTTGAAGCATAATGGTGGAGGTAGAAGTTAAGATTTTTAAAAAAAATTTTTACATTCTTTTATTGTTTGTTTTTTGATATCTGAAAAGAAACTGGGTTACAAAGATTCATTTTCTTTTGTGCCATGTGGCCAAGTTTAAAAACCAAGAATACAAATGTTGACCTCCTCAAGAACACCACAGCTAATAGAATTCAAGAGCCTACATGCACCATTAATAGATCCTAACCTTCAAATAATTTAAAAGCTATGGTTTATTCCAAGTACCTAACTTTTATTTCCATATTATGCTAAGTTTGGGCATTGTAATTAAGCCTACCTCTCATCACTTTCTACTTTTCAGACCCAACTTAAATCTAATCTGTGCATATAAGCAGTTAAACCAGTTTCGATAGTCACAACAGCATCTGGTATAAATAAGAAATAAAAAAAATCCAAAGAAAGTAATTCATATAATGCTTTCCATCCAAAACCTTAAATGTAACACTTGAAAGATGAATGAGCTTTATGGTCATAGTAGTCTGCTTTGAAATATAATCAACTGTATCCTTTGTTATTAGAGTGACTGTATTTGAATAAATGTCAAAGATAACTCATCACACAGCAAAATCTTGCTGCTCAGTGTTCATTATAAACATGAGAATACGGAATACGAACATTATAAACAGGATCCAAAACTTTGAAACTGAATCCACAGAAGTTATGGGAGAGAACATCACACTGTAAAAAGTCTACAAATGTCACGTTGTTGTCACAAATTCCTGCCTGACTTTATAAATGCATTATATATTAAGCTTTAGACTTCTCAAAACATCATGTTTTTTAGGGGAAAAAACCCAGAATTTTAGACCTGAAAAACTCCTATTGTTCATCCAAACCAATCTCTTCCTTTTACACACAAAGAAACTGAGGATCAGGAAGTGTCTAATGAATCTTCTAAATCTAAATTTTCACCATCTTGTGTAATTAGGTAAGAGGACATCTAAGTGACTTGCTTGGCAAAGTTGCAAAACTGGGCTCAGAAAACTGGATTCTTCACTTCTAATTCCAGTGCATTTCACTATACCAAACATATCATGATGTTTCCTCCTTATGGTATCGTACTTTCCTCATGGTACCTCAAAAAATGTCTTTGATATCCTGGATACTGATAGTTGCCAAGGTAGGCTGCTAATTTTTTCCAGGTCAACAGTATTCAAATAACTTAGTATCAAAAATCCTATCTTCCTCCATCCCAAACAGATGCTAGGTATACATGGTTCTACTAAAATAATTTGATAGCCTTTAAAATAAAGGAAGAATTAGCAAAATCAGGGTTTAGGAATTATCATGTAGGGCCTTTATGTAAAGACGAAGATTTGGCTGAAATATGAAGGAATTAACAATGCCAATACTTTAGACATGTTAGCCTCATTTATACGCTTAAATGTGAAAGGAAAAACTTTTTTTGCCTTATTCATTAGGAAGTATATATATAAATTACCTATCATCGTTCAAGAATTACTGAAAGAAATAAAAACACAATGGAAACTGCATTCATTATATACAATTGTCAGAATCTATAGGTAATAATTAAAAGATATGTTTACTGGTAAACATGTCCTTTTGCATTTAGAAAAAATGAGTACATAAACCATACTTTATTAGACATAAATAAGTTCAAACCAAATTAATGATACATTTGGAAACATAAAAAAAGTGGAACTTGAAGGACAGAGCCATGGTAACAGAGACATTTCTAACACTCTCAAATCATCCAAATGTTATGAAGAAATAGAATCCCTTAACAAAATACTTCTGAAAAATGCAAAATATGAAAAGATTAAAAATAGGAATAAATCACTAAAATAAAAGGCCTTAAGTCCCAAAGAATGTGTTAATCATTAATGGGAAATATATTTAAGAAAATTTGTTAAAGGACATGTTGTTCAGCAAAATAAAAAACCCAAATCGA